CAGTAGCACTATATCAGCTGTCATTTATACTGCAGTAGTGCAGCAAAAAGAAATATTTCCTGCATAACTAACCTTAGCAATGATAGACTTTCTTGTTTTTCAGTCTTATTTTCTGGATTCTCTGGAGTCATTACAACAAAGTCATGTAATATATGCTGGTCAGAGCCTACATCGCCTTCGGCGTAATAGATTGAGCGCTTTATAGGCAGAGTTCACAGGAACAAATTAAAATTTGGATTATTTTCACTCGAATGACTGCCAATGTGTTTTTGAATGACTATTAATGCCCTTCTGACTAGCTTTAAGATTTTATTGAATAAATATATTAATCATGTACAGTGTTATATATTTATTTGATCTATCCACTTTCTGGAGAACCACTTATGGGAAATCTAACGCATAGCCACCAAGAAGATGCAGCCTTTCCCAAACACACACAAGGCAAGAATTAAGCAAACAGCACTAGAGGCTTGGGGTGAGTTTCCCAAGGCCTCCTTAACGCTACGTCATTTGTAAGATCTATCTTACGAACAATGTAGCATTAAAAAGAAGGCTTCGGGAAACTCACCCCTGAACCCATTTCAATACCTTTTGAACCACTGTTTACCCGTCCCATGATGTAATCCAAACAAGTAAAAATGATAAAACAGGTTTACTCTTGTCTCTAGGGCCAATTGTATCTTTTTTTATGAATTTGTCTTCAACTTATGTTCAAACCAAGCCAGCCCCCAAGGTCCTCTTCTCCTACTCTTCCGCCTTGAGAGCTGGTGACTCAAATGGATTATTTCTGCAAGTACATTATAAAACACCCCCTCGTCCCGCCTTCGAGAAGTGCCTCAAGATTACACGGAACTGAGTATTCCTGCCCGGCGGTTTCATGTCGAGCAAAAATGCAGATGAATAATTCTGTAAAGATGAAAACAGCATAAGCAGAATGGTATGATTAATAGGAACGCAAAATATGCCATTTCTATAAAAAGGTGCCTTAATTCAATCCAAGTAATGATGGCAGCTTCAATTAAAGGATGAAGCCTTTTATATGCTTAATGTTAGTTGATCGTCCTCTCTGGTCGATTTATATGGCTCACTTAGGTCAATGTAATTAATTTAACTGGCTGAGATGCTTAGATAATTGGCATCTGCATAATGGACAAACTCAGGCAGGGACAACAGACATCTTCTGAATCGGGCCATTTTACGTTATATGATGCATATTGGGGTGCTAGGTAGGTAGGCAGCCAAAGCCTAGTTACAACACCACCATATCACATTTCTGAAATAGAAGAATTCCACACGTTCTAAGTGGCTGCTTTGCTCTAAAAAATTGTAATGCAAAGGTATTATTGCACAGTCTGACATACTAGCATTTGTTGAAGCTGGCTTTTCAGTTGCAGGATTCTGTTTAATAGATTCACATTGCTCTGGTGTTGCACCTATACACATAACCTTGACTGACTTTTCAGAAACTCTTACTCTGCTGAGTTTCTTACTAAAATTCAGCTTTTGGTGTGGGGGAAGCAGTGGATGATGGATTAATGTGAAATGGTTGGGATACCGTTCTGCAGATAAAAAAACAATAAAAATGGCTTGGCGACTCATATTTTAAGTATTATCATAACCCCTTGAAAAAATGCATAAACTAATAGGAACGGCATATAATTACAATCAATTAAATCAACTGCACAACTGCAGTAAATATAAAATGTATACAAATTTCTCATATTGACAGCATCATTATTCAGTTTTTAAATTACTTTTTCACTATGTAGAGGTGACAAACATTTGTATATAAAGTCTGTCTTTGCCGAACATATCAGGAGAGGAAGAAGACATGATGATGACGTAAAATAAAATGACGGCATGGAGACTTCCAGTATGTCTACAAAAATGGGTAAAAATCACAATCGCAATTCTAAAACAAAACAAAAAAAAGTTCAGTTTGCACACGTAAATTAATGGGCATATTCTCAGCAAACCACCTGCTGTAGCCTGTATACCTATAAACGATGCCTCTGAAGAAGGCGTATTTTAAAGAAGATCCTCCTCAAAGCCTGTTATGAGCGCCAGGAGAAGCGGCTAGGAAGGAGGAGAGGGCATAAGATGCCAATGTGCTTTTAAGAAAATGAAAAACTAAAGAGTAACCATTAGACCTGATATAAAAACAGTGGTCAATATCAGCAGCCATGCCATGCTGCCAAAGGGTATTAAATGACTAATTTCCAAATGGGATAACTAATTATTTAGTTCTATGTTCGCTGGAGATGAAGTGTTTTACTAAGCAAATTTGATAACATGGTGGTATTAACAGTAGTCTTCTTCAAGGCTCCCTAGCTATTGATGGAATGCATCAGCAAGCAGCGCACATAGCTGATGAGAAAGTATTTTATTTGTCTATGCAAATTATGCTGGTCAAAGCCGATGACATGGAATGAAGCTAGCTGTCAGTTTTTGCGTCATTGTCACTGTTACCCAGACGTGGTTTTCCCCTCTCTGCACCGTATTTACAAATGCCAAAACGAAGTGAGGCCTCCTGGCCAGAACGATAACTGACAAATGTATTCACAAACAAAAAAAAAATGGAGGACAGATTCAATCCGGGTCTAAAGCGACAGTGCCAACAAGCACCAGGTCGGCAACAGAGAGTCTCTAATCACGACCAATCAGAGCATATCGACTGTCACATTTCATGAGACCAACGGCGGCCTTAAATTAGCAGTGATAATTAAAATCCTGTTGGTTCCAAACATCACCTAGAGCTCTGCTAACGAGACAGCTGCACCGCAGACTAAATAATCAACATTAAAAATGGTGTCCCTTGCACACGTAAAAAGTTTCTTGTAACAGTAATTAAGGTGCCCAGTGGTGAGCTGACGGTGGATATTTGTAGATTGTGTGGGCCTTCGAAGGCACTCCGTGATGCCAATAGGCATGTGAGTGTGGGGGGACCTTTGAGAGAACACTCAGCTCTCACAGTGTTTCTGTTCGCCTCCATCACCCCCTGGTTTTTGGTTACAAATGGATGCTTCCACTCTGGGGGAATGAACCATTTTTTGCTACAAGTGGGCTTCAGATCAGATGCCGTGCATCAGCCAGCGAAGAGACTGCTGTGAAGGAGGTGGTTGCCTGGACACCAACAAGAGCGGTCAGACTGCTCTTCTCTTGCTAGTGTTTGAATATGCCCTTGATCAAAGGTGAGGCTCTTAAGCTTCTGAAATGGTGCTTAGATTGCACCACTGTAAATGCATACCACACCGGGCACTAAGCATATTGTAAAATGCTATGCAAATTTCAAAAATAATAAGGTCAGAAGCACAAGGTAATATGAATAGAATGATGAAGAGAATGTGGGCAAAAGATCAATATTTTTATATTCACACATTAAAAAGACGATGAACATTTAGAAAATCAACAAATGCCCCATTCAGCCACTACTCAGACTCAAAATGTCTCCTCTTTCTGAGAAGCAGCACCTAGACAGCTAATTCGTAAATTTGTAAATTAATTTTCCGACACTTCAAGAGGGAAAAAAAGAGCACTTAATACAACAATCTAAATCAACAACTGCTCTCATAACATTCTCATAAAAATATCGCTCATAAACTACGTTTGTGCAAACAAAAATACTCTCGATGTTTGGGCTATAATTACACATGATGTCTTTCGGTGTAAGGGGAGAGGCGGTGGCTGATTAACATCGCAAAAATCTGAGGCTTGGCACATTCTTCTGTATAAATAACTGGGGGAGCTGGCCAATCCGGGGAGGGACAGAGTGGCCGGGGGGGTGGGGAGGGCAAAGGCAAATGGACTGAGTGACAGGACAGCTGCGACAGGAGCAGCTAGGTCAGGGGGCTGAAACGCAGACGTGCCATCACTTGGGGGGAGGATCAGAGGGGGCTTGGAGAGACACACTTGGCTGAGTAGTGACACTCAGAGGAGCGGAGTATGTTTGACTCAGGATACGGCTAAAAACAACCCTAAAAAAATCCAATATCGAAGTTACTAACAATAAATATTTCCCCATCTTGCTACCATACCAAACAAATTTTCAAGCATGTAAACAGATCATATTTTATTCAACATTTTCAGATTTTTGATGTAGTGGATATGTAAAAAAAAAAAGTGCATATCCTAAATGTGATTAAAACATTAGCGTCTTATACTTGCAGGACCCGAGATAGTAAATCAGATGTTGTAACAGCCATAAATGATCTACACAACACAGCGCGTTAACTCCAGCAGAGACACCGGAACCCAGAGGTCGCGGTAAACCATCCCATATTGCTGACAGGCTGACGGAGGCAGTTGGGGGTGTCATTGACACCGCTGACACAGAGCTCTTGCCTGCCAAGGCAAGTGCTGTTTCCATAGGTATGGTTTTACCCTCTGAGTCCTGATAATAACTGCTATATGAGAAACTGACCACCAAATCATTGTGTAACAGAACCATAGAGTTCTAAGGTTCCCTGTTCCTATTCAGGACCTTTCCCCGATACTATAATGGTATTCCGTAGCAGGCATGAATAAGTAGATCCTGGATATTCTTCTGCTGTTAAATGTCATTTTCAAGAATTTACATACACTTGGCCTTGTACTAGGTGTTAGAAGAATTACATCAATTATTACTCTCATTAAACACACTTTCTATTAAATTTGTTACATTAACCACTTAATCCCATTCAGGCTGAAGTGACACTAGAATTACGATTGCAAAATTAACTGTACAATTCATGGACTTTGGTCACACTGACCAGCATGAAGTTCTAAAGTAATGTTCTAGAGTATCTAGTAGAAAATTGCAAGCATTTAACTTTGAATAGCACTGACCTGCGTTCCAATAAACAACAATGTGGCAAATTCCAAGAGAAGTCCAAAGTTGTGCAAGGAGTGTGAACAGATTCTGGACTTCACCCTTATAGAAGTCATGCAGCTTTATGGTAATATATCTTAGGACTTAACACCATCTGACCAGAAACCTAGGGTATTTGATTTGCCATATTTACCTTCTCCCAGGTCCAGGACAGCAAGGACTGAACTGCTGCTGGCTTCCCCCAAGTAGTTGCTGGCAATGCAGGTGTAGAGGCCAGCGTGGCTGGGCTGACAGTCCCGAATCCACAGGCCTCCATACTCCTGGTTATCCGTGTCCAGCAGGATGTCATTATGGTACCAAAACAAGGAGGGCTGCGGGTCTCCCGCCACTGCTACCTTCAGACGGATGTCACATCCTGTCCCGACAGCCGCGTTCCTCATCTTCCGGATGAATACTGGTGGAGTTGGACTTGGGTAAAGGCAGTCTTCCTGGCTGGGAACTACCTGATCCGGGTTTACTCTGGCCCGCTTGGGTGGGATTTGGGGACTTGGGGGTGCAACTCCATGAGCCTCGTCATCAGACCCCTTCTTCAGCATCATTTGGACCTCTGCCTTTCTCATTTCTGAAAGCACTGTTTGCCTCTTGCTAACAATCACCTTTGTCACTTCTTGGTGGTTGTGTTTATTCCATAAACACGATTATCAATTATTTTGCACAATGCAAAATGACCTTGCTTTTTATGTCCCTAATGATTTCAATTGTCTTCAGCAAGTCATAAAGACATTATTGAAAATTAGAATAGTAGCTACTAAATCAAGGTTATTTAAATGTTGTTCGGCAGGATAATCAGCATTACAATGTACATAATCTTTGGTTATGCCTTCTTAACACAGCATCAAGACTCTGTTCAGAATTGTTTTGGAAAATACAACAACGCCAAATCATAGCCCTAGCTTGATTTCAGATTACTTACAAAACTACAAGAAAATCTTCAGCCAGTGTGTCAGGTAGAGTCTGTCAGAGGTCTTCGTGTTCATGCAGATGATATTTTTAGATCAAGATCCCCTTGATCAAGTTGCATTAGTAGCTCCAGTATGGCCTTTTATAAAGCATTGCTATCTGCTTTTCACCATTCAGCACAGAACTTCAAAAGGCTTTGAAGTCTTCAGCGATGACAGGAGAGTGGTTTTGTTTCTTCAGTATTACCTTGGACGGCTGTCCCTTCACCAGGCCTTGGATCATCTGGACTCTGGAGGCCGTTCACTTGTGACTATGGTGGCCACTGATTTTTCAGTTTTTTTTTTTTTAAGGTCTTTTGCTCATGTGTTTCTGCCCCTTCATCAGCTCAACCCCCCCAGGGGATGTAACAGGCGAGTTCCCTGGCCCTGGAAGTGACAGCTGTGTACTGTCACACTTTTTGGAGAAGCCTTGACGCTTTAGCCCCCTCCCTCCATCCAGAAAACGTACCCAACCAGGAGCGGCAGAGTGTCACTGTACGTGCATACGAACTGTAGGGAGGAGCTGGAGTCCTGATTCATGAGTCAAAGATAGAAACCAATAAGGACCCTAGACTCTTTCCAGCACAATCCATGTGCAGTACAGGCTGCCAGCAAGTTAACTTAAAAAAAAAATCATGTCCCATTGTTCCTCTATCTTCATGCTATCTGAAGAAGAACTTCTTCGAAATGCACCAAGCTTCTGGCTAACTAAACACTGGACATGAAGCAAATCATGCAATTTTTCTTCCTCTATTGAAAAGCCGAGTTCAAATTTTACATAAAATGTCGACATGCAGACATCTCCTTTAATGTGCGCTTCACTATTCTGTGCAGGTGTTTAAAATGTAACCTTAAAACTCAGATTTGTTTCCTAAGCACGCACAAATAGAAAAAAAAAACACATCTCCCCCTACGGGCCACAAAAAAAACTACCAGCACAGTACAAACAAATTTGTTGTTCCAACAAATTTTTGTTTCACTCCTGATAATTTTCCTCTGCTTTAATTAATAACATTTATGTACAAAAAATCTTTTCAAATAAATAATAAGTAAATAAATAATTAACCATAAAAAAATAAAATTATGTCTCCATATTTGTTATGATACATTCTTAGGATAATGAATCATGGTCTCATTTTCTCATTATATTTTACTACACAGAATCATTATATGATGTATTTAGTGATAAATCTTATTTGTTACAGCAAGGATGAAAGCTTTTTATACAAAATCAGTCTCAGCTACATGCCTACATTTTGTCTTATCCTTTCGAGGCAAGATTCTGCTCACAATGAATGGTATGGGCCTGGTTGTCATGGTAACAACATCATAGCATTAACTATGAACTAGGGCTGGTGGAGAAGTGTGTTCATTTCCAGTAAATCAAAATGTGAACAACCAAGGTTAGCATCCTGAAATAACAGAAACAGTAAATCAACCAAAGTTATAGAGTATGTTCTGCATTTATTACAATCTTCAGCAGTAGTACAGGCTGGCATTGACTAAGCAGTGGGTCTTAGTAGCGACCCCTCCTGGTTTAACGACGGCATTTCTGGTTATTATTATCAAGCATTTATTTCCATCCCCAGTATTAAAGGGACTGTAACCACTATGCAGCAGTAAAATCATGAACAGTGGTCTCAATTAGGCTACAGCGCTGCATTTTGCCACCCCTTCTGAACCATATTAGCATATCTGCATAGTCGTTTTAGCAACACAAAGGCTCATTGGAGAACCAGATCTCGCTATCTAGTAAGCCTTATGCTCATTTGTTAATGCAATTTGCATGTTGGGCTTCTTCATGTTCTTTGAGCCAGTCCCTCTGATTGTTATCTCTGCCACCACAATCAATTCCATTGAATTATCGTTTGTGTTTCCCTTGATCAGTGAGAGAATGATTATAAGAAAATGGATGGATATGTGAGAGTAGATGAAAGACAATGTACACAGATGTTTTTGTTGTTTGTGAGCTTTTATGAGGAAATTGAAACATCCGGAGAGCTGCAGTACTTTTAACTTCCAGTACAGTAAAATAAAATATAATAAAATTAAATTAAATACAAAGCCCATAAACATCATCAGGCTACTTATGCAGTACAAGTTACCGGAGACCACAGCAAGGGACAGAAGGCAGGGCTACACTTTGGAGAGAATGCCTGCCCTTCACACAACAAAGTCACATATTATGAGTCCCTAGTCCACCTACCTGCATCTCTTTGGACTATGAGAGGAAACCAGTAGAAAATTGGGAGAATAGGCAAGCTTCACACACAAAGAAGTGGGGAGATCCAGTCCCCCTACGCCAGAGGTGCGAGGCAACAGCCCGAGACGAGCTTTCATTAACTGCTGGGCCCCTTAAGCCACAAGGCTAGGCTCTTAAGCTTCATATTACATACTGACTATTTAAAAATGAAGTTAAATTTTCCCAACATGAGCGTGCTCATAGAATTGGCTTTAAAAGGGAGCACAAAAAGCAGTCTCTCCCAGCATTTTAAGCTCGCTTCAGAGTAGACAGCCGAGTGATGTGCAAAGGTATTCATTTTCCTTGAGTGCTTCTTCTCCAGACAGGCCTAGCAGGGCTGGAAATCGATTGAACTGACACAGATGGGGCCTCTCCATGCTCACTATGCTAAATTATCTACGCAGAATGGCACTGCTGTGAGTTCTTATGGTGCTGGAATTTCCAAATTTTCTTGACTTAGTGAAAGCCTATGGACATGGGAGAAATAATATGCTTTTTGTGCACAGAGTAACAGCAGAGTATGGAGGAGCCTTAGGGTTGCTATAGTGAGTAATTACCAGCACTAAAGTTTCAGGTAGCCTGTCAATAAAACTCAGCTAGCCCTTGTTAGCTTAAATATATTGTTCCTGTTATTGTAGTTCTACTGAGTGGATTGAGCAAGGTCTCCTGGTGGTTTTAGAATGTGTGGGGTTTTCTTTGTTCTGTTTAGTAAAATATTTACATTGTTTATTTAAGCCTTATTTTACATAGATCCAGACAAAAGGAATAGCTAACCATCATAGATTACCGTAAGGAACATCACCCTGATATCCTCTACCTTATTCACAACCAAATGTTACACACACTTGCAATAATTAATAGTATACATTGTTTTTGTGCACCCTATGTTTTTGAAATTTTGATTTGACTTCTTTATCCTGTAAATTCCCTCTTGGAGGAATGCAGAAAGTAATGCCATTGGCCTGCACAGTCACCTGACCCTAATCCCATTGAGCTGACTTGGGATGAAATGCATAGAAAGGACAAAGCCACACAGCCAACTAGAGTAGATCATTTGTGCGCACTCCTCCAACAATGGAGAATTAACTGAATGTGTAACAGTTTGTTCAGCTGTATTTACAGTAAAAGATGCCTGTTTTGAGTTAAAGATTTAGCTTGTCTTTTTAATCGCATAGGTGATTTCTTTTGATTGTGGTGCTAATAGTGTTTAAACTGTAGGGAAACACAAGGCGTTCGAAAACTTGTATCCGCTGTTATAAAATCTCAAATATATGCTTGTTTTTTTGTAGTTCTCTCATGTGCTTATGCCCTCCACAGACTCCCCTCTGCTTCTTCCCACTGGGCCCCCTGTTGGGATTGTTCTGCTCTAACACCCCTGACCTAGAGAATGAGCGATACTCTCCTGCGACTCTGATCGCACTCAGGTCACCGCATGTCCAGCACGCACACAACCAGACACCAGACACGCTCAATGTGGAGAGGTTCGTCTCTCGTCAAGGTCAAGCTTCCGATAACACAGGCTCCGTTGTTGTGGAAATTATGGACGGAGCTTTTTCTAGGCACCTTGGAGGAGGACGGTGTTCTTCTGGGAAAGAAGGTGTATGGGAAGCGTGGAAATCCTCTCAGCTTATTCAAAACCACTAGCAGCAGCGAAACCAATGGAATTCCTCATGCTTTTTCAAACACCTGCTGGCTGCTCCCAGCACAATTTTAATCTCACTTCACCGATACTTTGTAAACACTTAGTCCAACATGGAAAGACTGCAGATATTGTAATAAAAAACATAAGCTTGCGAGGCTGTGCAGCACGAAAACAAACCTTGGAAAGCCTGAAAACAATTTATTTTCTGTTTCCATGTGACTGTACAAAAATTACTGAAAATCATATCCTTAACGAGACCGGATTTTTCACTACTATCTGCAGAGTGAATGGTGTACAAGCAACTCATTACATTAATGTCCAACACATAGTGTTTAATGACATCTAAAAAATCTCACCGTTTGTGAAATGGGTGTAGTTTCTAATATACTTCCTGTATCACAGTGAAATAGCTCTTGCAAGTTGTCTGTTCGATAAAACACAATTATAACAACTAGCAGACTTGGGACTTGCAGTTAGAATCTGAAAAGCAGCAACAAAAAAACACTCATTGTAAGTCTTGAGGACAAAGAAGGCTATGGTACTTAGTGATACATTTAGTGGGAAGACACTGCAGAGGTCACGGCTGCAGTCTACTTATCTTAGCTTCCTCTCTCACGGCTACAGTATGAAGAGATAGGATTCCTGTGACCTAGACAGTTGCGTCACAATTGCAGTGTGGGCAGCACCGGCTGGGGCAAATGCATTTCAGAGTCAGCTCTTTCTGGAAAAGAGTGCAAGACCAAACTAGACGGGGATATCGTAGAAGAAACAGCACTTGGCACTGGACGGACTAACAACCAGTGGGACGTGCAGTGGGGTGAATTTGTATATTCTGAACTTTAAAATATAAAGTGAACGTTCAATAGAACTATATTAAGGGCTGTTGAACAATTTAGATATTAAGGGATTAATGGTATTACATCTTGGTGCTTATATGCTTAATACTTTCCTTCCTTTTTGTTTGTTCCTTCCTCGGGAGGTTTGAAAATGAGGAGTAGATGGTTAGACTTGTTAATCGTGTTCCTTGCGTCTTTGGCCCTCTGGGGCTCGACATGGACTCGAGCATGCCAGGGAGAGGGTGTGCCCCAGAGCGAGGTTCTGGACTGGTTCAAGCGGCGAGTGCTGGAGGGACTGGGGCTGAATCAAGCGCCTGTCCCCTTGGTTCAGCAGCCACCGGCCAGCGGGCGGGCATCCCGAGTGGGGAGAGCAGCCCAGGTGGAGCGGAGAAGGTCCCATCAGGAGACGTCACAGGTCATCCTCTTCCCCAGCTCGGGTCAGTCACTCATCCAAATCAATGAGGATCTCAGGGCAGCTGTATCAGCCTGCTGTGACAGTGGGCCACATATTTATTTATTTTCTTTCCAACGAGTATCATCTCAGTGTGCAGCCATGAAATAATCCATAGTAAACTTACTGGTCAGAAAAAGGGGCATTCCTATTGTTTTAATTTTATGAACAGGGTGCTTGAATTGCTTATAGAAAACCACAGTAAATGCAGGATGTTTTTCACAATTCCATAATGTCACTTTTTATAGCATGGAAGTTGGGTTTTATACAGAATGCAGCCTGCAGCATTCATGATAGTTAATACTATGGAAGTAAATGATACTCCAAAGTTATATGTAAAAACATCCATTTATATATTTCCTTAATATTAATATTACTTAATATTAATCACGTTGTTCTTCCAGATTCCACTTGCGCTCACGACGAAGATCTTCCCCTACAAGAAGCCTTTAGTCATTTCACCTACTACTTTCAGCCCTCTGGTCACAGCCAAGAGACAGTGATCACATCTGCCCACTTCTGGTTCTACGCTGGTGAAGGAGCTCTGAGGAGCAACACCTCAGCACCCCTCTACATCCTCACTGCCAATCAGGAGCTGATCCACGTTGCTGAGGGACCCACAAAGCTAGCGGACGACGGCTGGGTCACATATCACGTTGGGCGCCACATCAGCCCCGCCATGGCGGAAGGCCCCTTTGTCATTCAGGTGCGCTGCCCGTCTTGCGGATGCTACGCGGATGCCAGCAAGACCCCATTCCTACATCTGAACACCCGCTCCAGGGGCAGTGACCGTTCCCGACGGGCCTTGATTCCTTGGTCACCGTCCTCCATCGAGCTGCTCCAGAGACCCCCTGAGGAGAGACCGGACTATGACGACTGCCACCGCGAGGAACTCAACATCTCCTTTGCTGACCTGGGGTGGGAGAACTGGATTGTGCACCCCCAGGTCTTCACCTTCTACTATTGCCATGGCAACTGCTCCAGCTGGAATCGCATGACCACCCTGCTGGGTATCAAGCAGTGCTGCGCCCCCCTCCCCGGCACCATGAAGTCCCTCCGCTTTCGCACTACCTCTGATGGGGGCTACTCCTTCAAATATGAAACACTGCCAAACATCATCGCCGAGGACTGCACTTGCATTTAGCTTATAGCTTCACACCATTGTGGCTAGAAAGGTCAAATGCGGATCTGAACAAAATCTCCATGCAGTAGCAGTCAATTGTTTTTAATTTTTTTTATAGCACTCAAGCAAAGTAGATTGTACTTACAGAAGAATATTGTCACTTGCATTAATAGAACTATTCATAGGTACGAATAACTAATCAGTTGTGCAATTTTGAACTACAACAGCTTTACCTAAAATCCCAGTTTTCTCTATAAAATCAGTATGGGTGGATGAAAGAAGTCATTAATAAAGTCTAAAAGCTCCTTAATCTGGACCGTTTCATTAAAGAATACCTCACTGAAATAAAGATGTTTTTTATATTCCTCTAGAGGGCAATATTGAGTTACATTGCCTCAGAATTAAGTTTGTCATTTTAAAAAAAACACACCAGTAAAACTGTCAAGCTTCAGCATTTTATACAAAACTATTCTTTTTATTTTTAAATGAAACTTGATACTATATAATAAAGATCTTTCGCATGCTTATTGAATATGCAAACTTTGTATAAAACTACTCTGACCAGGTACTTTCCCTGGCTGAGGCCCCGGGCCCCAGCTAACCTTATTTTAAAATACTTTAGAGTTGCTACCCACCCTGTATTTTACAGGATCATCCAGTATTGAGAAATAATATACCAAGTCCCTTTTTGAACCAATACGTGATACAGTCACACAATTAGTCCTGAATTTTCAGGTGCAGACTACACGAGTAGGAGGGACCTAAGAACCTGATATGGTGCTTCTGACTGGTTGTCCATATTTCCATACTAGTTGCAGACTAGGGCAGTAAGCAGGGTTGGGTAATTGGGAGGCAATCCAGGTGCAAAATCTCACCATGTTACAGTTCTGTGCAACTTCAAAGTGGCTCCAGGCTTTGTTTTCATGGGATTGGCAACAAAATTATAATTGAACCTGCAGGTTCTATAAGCAGCATGAGACAGGAAGGAGAAACAGCACGGAGGAGCCAGTTCAAATGGAATCTTTATTTCTTCCTACAAAGTTTTAAAAAATAAGTATACAAGTGGATACAGAAATATTTTAATGCTGTTAAATTTGAGAACTACTAATGACAACGGACTAACAATCGTACTAAGACCTCCATCCAGTTCTAGGTGAATCACCAAATGAGCATTCAGGACCAAGTACAAACACAGATGAAACTCAACAGCTCAGAACATTAAAGTCTGTGCATTATCTAGCCACTAGCACTGAAGTGTAAATCATGTTTTTAATAAATGGGTTACAAGGAAACACTGCATACAAATATAGATCAAATTTAACCTCAAATTAAAATGCAGCTACTTTTAAAGCAATACACACGAGGGAAAAATGTCCTGAAGGGAATTTTTGTACAGAGACAGCCAAAATCATAATGTTTTAACTGCAACTTTCAGGTATGAAATATTCTTAAGAACATTTTGAAATGTAAACTGTGCATAATTAGCGGTATATTTGCATGAAGTGTGTGCATTTCTTGTTTGTAGTTTTTCCTCCCCTGCTACAACCCATACCAGTTCCACTAAGACATATATGTCGAAAAAAAGGATCCACTTTCCAAATCTACATACACAATTCACTAACAATGAAAGGGAAAAAATGTGTACCAGAATGCAACAGAATGTTGTGACTATAATATTCAAGCATTTCCCAGGTTTGTTTTTTTGCACACTTTTGGATTAAAGAAAACAACATAGCAAACCTTTCACATACACCACAGACAAAAGCTACTATCCATGTTACAAAAACGTACCTGCTTCTCATAACTCATACTGTGCAGTAGACTGCATTCCTAAAACTAGGCAAAAAGGAGATATCCTGCAGTGCTAACCTAGGCAAAAGAGAAAAATCCTGCTACAATTTTCCACGGGAAGGGGTATTGCATAATTAACGGGGTGTCCCACTCCCCCACAGAACAAGAAGCCCTAAGCAGTTTGCAGTTTCAATCCCCTCAGTTAAAGTAACGATGACAGTTTGATGCTTATTCAGTCATCACAAAACCCAGGAGGGGAGAAGGCAAAAAAGTTTAGCCTTTTTGGAATGACTAAAAATTGTAAACACCACAAAAGACTTCACTGGAATACCCCATTGCACTACTAATCATTCTGGTGCACGTGGGTTGCCAGCCTACGAGTCCTGCACAAATTATGGCAACAGAATTCCCTCAGGTTTAAGACTGGTATGGGCAGGTGATCTAGATACCAATTCTATGTAGATATATAGTCACCGTGCATCCAGCCAGGATGAGATGCTCTCCAGCATTGTCTGCGAGAGGTAAAGCTTTCAAGCTTGTGTGTATTCCCTCTCGACATTCACTGGCCTTAATACTGTAAGGCACATTCAAATATAGAAATCCCTGCATCACACTCTTGACAGACACACAGTACTCAGTGTAGGCAGTCCAACGGCGCCGACTTAGCACGTCTCCCGATCCATGGAGTGAGAGTTCTGTAGATCGAAGGTTCGAGTGGAAATGCATTGTGTGACATTCAGACCAGGATCCCTAAAAGGAAACAGGCAACAGAATTTGAGAAACTTTTTAAGATTACACTATATAAAGTGAGGTGGACAGTCACATTTATTTGTGTGCACATTCTTCACAGATCAAGACGAATGACTAACCTTTCACAGGCTGCATCTTGCTTCTCCTGGGCAAAGTTCAGCCTGTTCTGCTCCACCGCAGTGCTGTTAGACTCTGGGCTGCTGCTGCGCGATGGGTTGCCCTCGTTCTGATAGGCCAGGTCCAGGTGCTGTTGAGCCATCTTCAGGTGCTGGCGCAGGCGGTTCACTTCGTTCCCGAACGTCTCGCGGCCAGTGTCGCCCAGGTTGTCCCTGAACTTGGGCTTGAGGCCACCGGGGATCCGACCCTGCGAATCTTTCTTCACGGCCGTGTTATAGCCCGGGGGTGCTGAGGCCAACTGGCGGCACAACGAGGGCCGGGAACTGGCCAGAGCGTTGCGATTGGACGAGCGGGAGCGGAAGGTGTCACGGATGCCTCCGATGCCCAGGTGCAGCATCTCCAGAACAGTCAGGAGGAGGCAGAGTCCACTGACAGCATACATGATGAGAAGGAAGATGGTCTTCTCCGTGGGCCGGGAGACAAAACAATCTACTGTGTGGGGACAGGGGCTGCGGGTGCATACATAGGAGGGCGCCACCTCAAAGCCATAAAGGAGGTACTGCCCAAAGAGGAACCCTACCTCAAAGGCCACACGGGACACTAGCTGGAACACGTACACCCTCATCAATCCGTCCCTCTGGATCCGCCGCCTTCCATCATGCTTCTTTGTTGAATTCTCATCTTTCTTCTCCTCCTTGTTCGCATTGTTCTCCGAGATCATTGGGTCCTCCTCGCCATTATTCTCCATCTCCTCATATTCACGGAGAGAGTTATGGTCGATGGTCAGCTTCTTCCTCCCCCCAGCACGATACTCATTGTCGTCCATCCTGGCAATCTTGTGCAGGGCAAAGCCGAGGTACATGACGGTGGGGGTCGTGACCAGGATGATCTGGAAGACCCAGAACCTGACATGGGAGAGCGGTGCGAAGGCATCATAGCAGACGTTATCGCAACCGGGCTGCCCAGTGTTGCAGACAAATTTGCTCTGCTCATCATAGTATATGGACTCTCCTCCCACGACCGTGAGCACGATGCGGAAGACGACGAGCAGCGTCAGCCAGATCTTCCCCACGAAGGTGGAGTGGTTGGAGATCTCATCCAGCAAGCGCGTCAGGAAGCTCCAACTCATGGCGCTTCTTTCACTGTAAACCTCTTATAACTGCAAAAGAGAGAAGATTTTAGGTGGAACAGGCTCCTAAGTACACCAAGCACACAATAAGGATGGGGGGGGGGGGAAATGCTGATCCGTCGTAAAATCTATTACTGACTATCAGCAGAAACTATGCAAAGCATGAGTCAAAGGCACAAGTCAAATAACTGACCCTTAGTGCTCCTCTCAAGTAGAGGAAAGCAACAGGAACAGGAAGGCTTGGGAGACCAGATAGGGCAGAGACAAGCGGCACAGGCTGCTGAATGAGGCCGTTCATTTGCTGGGCTGCCACTGACAGAAAAGGAGAAGGAACATCTCCATGGTCATAGGCTGTAAATACCACAAGGGCTGCCTTTGTATTACAATGCAGAAAGTTGCAGGCTTTGAAGGTACGACTGACTTGTACAATTTGCCCATAAATTTGGCCAGTTCATCTCAGTCTACCAGATGTCTACAGGAGCACATCAGCAATTTCTCTCAATGGGATGACCAAAGTCAGAGGCACACAATATTAACAAGATCATTATTCCCAAGGACAAAGGCTAATCTCTTAACACTAACACAAATTCACTGGTAAATGATCTTGATGATGGTTTAAAAAAAGATACATTTTCCACATGGTGGCAATATTCACCAAGTGCTGTAATTCAAATACTTTACCTTGCAGTTCAAGTGGTTTCAGTAGCAAGCTCTAAACATGTGGAAGACTTCACCAGGTTCACTTTGCTAGAAATAAGGCTAAATAATCTGACAGCTAACTAAATGTTACCTCAACATCCACCATAAAATATAAGCCACAAAGAAAGGTACAGGTTCGCGATTTCACAGTAAGTACTTAAGAAAAAAAACTGAGAGAATGTTATATTTGATGTCTCAAGACGATAAAACTGCTCAATCCACCCCACCTACAAGGCCCAGAACAAGATTTTCTTTCAACCAACCAGTTGAGTCTGGACCTGAAATTTCCACCTTTGTTGACCAATTGGAAGTCAATGCCTCAGCAAGTAGCCACCTTTCACAGAATAATGGTCAAGTGAGAGACATCTAGAGGGGGAAACTGGTAACAACATCATAACTATGAAAAGGCCACTTACAAACTTTGAAGGTGCCGCAAAAATCATTGTCACAAGCGTTTGCGTCAGAAGTAGTTGTTCCTCATCAAGATTCAAGAAGTAGGCAACCAAAAATCACAGGCACACCCAATAAATCATAATCTTTCAAACTAGTTCCCAATGTTGCCACCTGTTATTTCTGCCTAAAGCTATAAAAGGGTGTGCATTTGTGTCGGTGTAATTAGTCAATCGTCTGGTGCTGGAGACGAAACGACGAGGAGATCTGTGTCAGCATGCCTGACACTCACACCAAATTGCTAACAGGAAGCAGAAGAGCCCATTACTTCTAGAATTACCCGACAAGATCATAACAAGCAGGCGTAAAGATAAAGTTACAAAGAGTGACAAATTTTGACAACGGAATGACAAAATAAGGAAGTGTAATAGTTTCAGCCATCCAACCAAGCCAAAGAGGAAGGAGAAACACAGCTCATTCGAGGAGGACCAGGTGGAGGGGGTTAAGCAGTTTAGCAGTCCTCACCCCTCCCCCACAACACTCCAGGCCAGCTCTCAGAAGGACCTCATTCAGATGTGCTGCCCGAAAAAAACCAAACATATGTGGAGCGGCTTGTGGAAGCCACCCACCCACCCAGCCACGAGAGGCTTTCCTCTCACAGGTGGGGTCCAGGTGGTAGCCGCCGCACTGATAATTACAAGCCTCTGCGGTTATGTAGTGCAAGCAAGGCTTGTACTTTGGGGGGCTCCAACCACACAGTAGGCACACACAACTTTGAGGAACAAACAAGAACTTGTTAAGCCATAATACTGTGGCTCTGGAGGGTGAGGCGCAATTCCTGAAAGCTTTGTTGAGAGCAAGAACTACACTGGACGCAAGTTAAGGCAAATAAATGGCCATATGTATACTTCCCTAAAAAGCACTCTTAACGGCACAGAAGCTCAGCAAAGAGTTTTGTCACACACATCTAAGGCTGCAGTGTTAAATTTTTAAATCAGCTGTGTGCAGACTCTGTCCAGAGTGCGTTTACAGGAGATAGCCCTGATCACATGCTAGAAAAACCATAGAGGTCAACTTAATTTTCCCTTAGCATGCCCACAATTGCCCTATAACCTACCCTATCTTGTTACATCCCACTTTTCATACTACCTGTCTTAAGACAGGGTCACAGTAAGACAGCCCAAATAAGTCAAAAGATGATAGCGGTCTAAACAAAATAAGAGCTACTTCCATCCGATTTAATGGCACTGAAAACCCCTCAAATCCAAGGAGAAAAGTTACGGTTGATGAACCATTGGCTGGTGTCAAGATGTGCTTAAGACTACAGGTTTTTAGACACGCATCCCTGCTTGGAACAATAAGGAAAAAAAGGATTTGAAACAATACTATCGTAACTCAGGTGTGGTGTTCTCATTTCTAAGGCAGAGTACATAACATTTCAGCTGAGGCCGACTTCAAAGTGAACATCAATGGTCCTGCATACTTTGTTAAACTGGAGTATACAGCAACAAGGAAGCCTTACACTTGCCTAGGCAATATGAGCATGACTTGGTGAAGCGGGGCAGCCAGGGGCTATTAAAAGTCTAGTCAGGAAAGAAACAAAAAAAATCCTCAACACGTCTGGAAAGAGTAAAGTCAAAGTTCCGCACACCTGGTCACAAAGTAATGTAGTGGCATCAGCTATCGAGAGCCCAGCACGAGGGAGCAGAGCCATCTTTGTCTGGCCACAGGTAACAGGCCAGGAAACAATACCCTCACTGTTTCAGACTTGTGCACTCAAACTTATTCATTGAAAACCTGCACTGTGGTCCGAGATATTTACTCAATTACATCACTCACATAACATTAGACAAACCCACATGTTCAAGTAAAACAAGTCATGGCTTGGGATATCACCGGAGCTTCCAGAGTTTAATTCTTCCAACCACTTAATAGCAATATGTTGCAAAAAACAAGCATCCCTGTACATGAAACAGGCTACATAATAAGCAATTAGAATTCGGCAAGTACAGTTAGTTACAGATTTATTCTCATGTTACACAGACTGGTTCATCAGTTGTAGATTACCTTGTAAAGAAGAAAAGAAAATTAATAACTTGGGGACATAGACTGGGAAGAATACTTTGCAATGGAGATTATGTATTATATATTTAAATACCCAGACAATACACAAGCTCACAAACGGTGTCTATCAATGTCTTTTTCCTAACCAGGTTGTACAAGTAAGACACCTGGCAGAAAACAGGAAATGTTGGAAGAATAAGTTAAGTCTATCCGGTATGGTTCAGTCAGAAGTAGTTAAAATTCCAGGCTAACTAAAAGCAGAGCATTAAAGAGGTGCCGAGCAGCGGAGGCCAGCGGAGGCCAGCATCGCCTACTTACCGGCCAGTTCCTTTACTCTTTGTTGTGAACTGGTTACGGTTAATTTCGGTAACCATATGAAATCAAGTTACTGTAAATCAGACAATTAATTTTAAAAGACTGTAAACCACACTGGGGCTAATCAGTAATACACCTTTGTATTTTATTTATTCAGGTTGACGCAAACAAAGCAGTTTGTTCCATAATTCTGAATTGCGGTATAGGCTACCCCTGTTTCAGACAGGAAATCCCAATTGGAGTAAAATTACCATAACTTTACGTTGGCGCCGGGCTGTATAGGATTTAGATGAAAAAGGGTACATTAAATGTAAACTATAGCCTAATGTAGATAACGGAATAAATCTATACAATTTAGCTGCACCGACAAAATTTTTACCGGGCATCAGGCAAGACACAATGAACCCGAAATATGTAAATATATAAACGTACATAACTACTACAAAAAGAGAAAAAAAATTGTCAATAGATTGAAATAAACGGCGCACGTCTCACATTTGCAATACATATTACCGATAGTATCCGATAGCCTACCTGATCTTGAAACAATTTGCTTTAAAACTAAATAAGTGAGTTCGGACGTCCCGTTTGTTTACGCGTTATTGAAGTTTATTCAGAAAATACTTCTTAGGTTTACAGCCTTTTAGTTACTTATACTAAATGTTTTAGCCAGTTAAGAATATTCTATAAGCTGAGCACTAAATAATAAAAGGTGCCGGTGTCGGATTTACCGCACTGTTCTTCTACCGCGATTAAAACAAAGTCACATCCCGAAAGCACGCCCAGAGTATTACTTACTTAAGAATAAGGACACGTTAAAGTTTAAGAAAGGGAAAGATGCTCCGGCGTCTTCCTAATGAACCACTGCTGCGATTTCCCTCTTTTTTGCTCCATAAAACAAAAGGCAGCGTCTTTATTAACCCATTCGGCGCGTCGCAGCCATGTGATCCGCCACACGTCGGGGTTCTAAATAGTGGGCAGACAAAGAAATATCCCAAAATCCCCTTTCCTCCTCCCCTATCTCTCTAGGTACCCACCCCGTTTTAAGGGGCCCACATGTGAAACCTGAGATAGTGATCTCCCCGTTTTGCGCCCAGTCATTTTTCTTGCCCTTCCTCCTCAAGCCTAAGAAAAAATCTGTCTGGCGGCAAAGTTCATCACACGCAAAATACTGCAGCCCTGACAAAAGTAAAGGTGTCTGAGGGTAAGCGCAATACAAAAGATCTCTGATAGCATCTTATGCCTGCTTTTGCTTAAACGAGAAATAATTTATAGTACTATCCTGTCCGACCATCTACCGTTTATTTTTATGAGGGTCGCTGCTGTTTTAGATACTATTTATTTAGATGTTAAGTCACTAATTTCATTAATATCATGAAGCTATTCAGTAGTGGTGGGTTACAGTGGCATGCATTTTAATTGATATAATCATACTTTTTTTCTTCTTGGTCTATAGTTGGAAATATTTGTAACATAAAAACTTAGCTCAGTTGCAGTTATTATTAATAGTACCTTGAGGGAACTATAAAGAAACAAATTTCTCAATAAATTGCAGTAGTCAGTATAGCAGATGAAAGTATATCAGCAAGAATAAACGAAACATTTTGCGGTACAATTTAATACAACCTATTCACTGCTTTTGCCGAAGGAATTCAGTCATTTTTAGTGCTGTATTTATCAGAAGCCGAGTGACTATACCAGTTAGATATCTGTTCGTATAATTTCATATGGACACTATGCATTCGACCAAAACTTCGGTTCTCAATAATGCTAAACGGTACAAATTCGCAAAGTTCTGTTATTTAACTTTAAGATCTGCCTGGTAGCTGCAGAAGAACCAGGTAAAATTACCCCCACCCCTCTAATCTACAACACTAGCCAACAGGGGCAGAGTAGGGGCATAGATACCCTGGCAGATTCAGGGGGCCCACTTAAAATTATAAAATCATAAAATTGTGGGGTGACATTGTGTTAGGGGGACCAAATTCTCTAGCTACGCCCCTGCTGGTAATTACTGATTATGCAACAAGGGGTGACCAGATTTGATAATCCTCCCTCCTCCACTCGCATGGTACCACAGCTCAACCCACAACACCAGTTCTGTGAATTTATTGCTATCAGGCAGATTTCAGAACCAGCAGACACAACTGTTCTATTTTCATACAATATATCCCAAAGTAAGACAACTAGGGCTTTACAACTATTAATTATGTTAAGTCTCAATCAGAAAAACAACTTACATGTCAAGCAAGACAAGAAACATGCCTGTATCACATCAGTAGTATATGACTCAGCAGTCTATACTAATGGAATTATTTGTCTATATGGAATTAAGCCTTGTTCAACAGACAGTTGAAAAGCAAAAAACTGTCAGTCAAATAGTCAGGATGTCTACAGAAAATGTCACAAGAAAGAAAAAACATTTTTGTTGCCCCAAGGATATATTTGAAAACAAATTTTCAGCTGTTTTATTTGAGAAATTCAAATTGTAAGTAGACCTTAATAGACTTTACACCCCAGGTTAAAAAACGCACTTTATAAAAAGACCTGCAGCCCACGTGCTGTTTTTATAAGCCACACAGCGCATGGCTTCAGACCCCTCGGCCATTCTCTCTCTTCCTCGCGTGCAGGCGTTCGGAAGTCATTATCCGAGAGTTTTCCTGCACTTTCTCCTGGGGGGTGGGGACACGCTTTTGTTTTGTGGGTTTTGCACCAGGCTGTGGTTTGACTTGTGGCTGCATCGCATCCATTTGCCCCGGCTGAAGGAGGCGTGAGGCCGCCATGGGTACAACACGATGAGCAAAGGGCCAGTTGAAACCCATTTAAAACCTTGGGCAAATGTTACTGCCCCCCCCCCCCCCCCACTGCAAGGACCATGTAGAGACTAAATGAAACTGTCCATTGAAGAGACAGAGTGTGATCAGCAGGCTAAGTTGGCAGCCCCTCAGGAGATCGTGCACTAGCCAACTGCCTATGTGGCCTAATTGGTTGACCCGCACTGTGTCTTGCAGTCATTGAGGATTTATAAGCTTTGTTAAGGGCTAAGCAGCATGCCATAGTCTTCAGGAGGAAGGACATCGAGAAGAGAATTCATTAATTATTACAGTGGAATGGGGGGTGGGTGGTTGTAATTAAAAGGTATGGATGGGTCTCAAACCCCTACCACTGGAATCCTGGCTCAGGCACTGTGAAGTGTGCACATCCTCTTTTTTTTAATTTAGCAGATGCTTTTATCCAAAACAACACTGTTTATTTTTGAGAAAGCAGGGTTAGTGGCCCCACCAATCCAGGGATATGAACTGGTGACCTTCTGATCACAGGTGTTGCATCCAAACTCACGGTGCTGCATGCTGCCTGTCTGTCCTCCCTGTGTTCACATGACTTTACTCTGGGTTCCCCCCCTGATGTTAAGTGGATGGGTGTCTCTAGAATGCCTGCTGGGTATGGGTCCTTTGATGAAGTGGCATCCTATCCAGGGGGGGTCTGGAGCCTGCCTTTGTGACCCGTGTTTCCTAGGACAGGATCCAGTCTTATGCTGTGACCCTGTACAGGATTTGAGGTTTAGAAGATGGATGACCAACAAGAGCCAATGTCCATCAGAAGCATTTTACCGTGCTGTAAATACAGGTCTGTCATACCCAGACCTTATCATACTAGGGCTGGTATGCTGAATAGAGATATAAAGTGACTCAGTGCAGTATAGTGACTATAATGGTTGAGTCATTTCAATTGCACTGAGTCACTATGGCATTTTATATACTGAGTCACTATGGCATTTAATTTCTTAACAGAACATACCATCATTACTTTATCTTATTTTATTTATTGTATTTGATTAACTTTTAATATATATTTATTGTTTTTATTTTAGTCTACTGCTGTGAACTTGTCTTCTTGTTATTTTTAGTGTTGGAAGGAGGATATGCAACGAAGACTTTCATTGTACTTAGTACATTATACTCTGTTCATACATAAAACTTTTAATCTTGAATTTTATTAATGTTATTTTTTTCCCCCAGTGATCATATATAACTGCAATACGTTTTTGTCACAATGTAAAAGATAACACAATGGCTTACATTTGATTATTTCAAGTATGTGGCAGTTAAATAATCCCAGATGATAGCAACAATTCTTCAGAAATTAAATAATAAACTGAAGCATAATATTTACTTCTGTGGTGGACTGACTTACCATACGGGGTGTAGCCCTACTGGGTTCACTGGGTTGCTTGGTGCAGGCTGGAGGCTCTCTGTTCTGGAATTGTGGTAGGAAGGTGGATGGATGGATGAATGGATAGACTGCATATTCAAACCAACCATTTTTGTTTCTTAGTAGTACTATTGGGATCTTTTCAGATCTGAGACACATAACTCTAGCGTACAGCTACAGATGATATCTCTCTCATTGCTTAAAAGCTGGTTCCTGTAATTAGGCGATAAACTTATGCAATATCGTGGTCAAACATTCACATGAGTCACATGGGCATATTTAAACTTGTGAGGTTTTTGTTTTTTTTTTTTTTCATTCGTTAATTTAGCAGACACGTGTGTAATCATGCAGTGATTTGAAGGCATTTTGTAATATGTTTGTAGTAAGTTGTAATATTATCTGCATAAAAATATTGATAATCTTGACAGAATCTTGAATGTTAAAGTCATTATTAAGAGCATGCCTTATGAGTGACAAGAATGCCTTGAATCTAGAAAACACACAAACAGAAGTGCAGAGCATACATTCATTCCACTAACAAGGAGGGAATATCAGTTCAAAGCAATTTGTAACCAATTATGTGCATTGTGTTCAGCCCTATTGAGGCAACAGAGCTTCGCCTTCCATCTGGCTGTATAAAACATTCCATTCACATTCTTCAGGCACACAGCCTTACAAATTCAGGTCAGCTAACTTATTTACAGCCCATCAGTGGAATCACTGCAAATTCTTAACAATTAGCAACAAATTTGCTATCCCGCATCACGAATCACACTGAGTTAGCGGTCCAGAGGAATTTCTGCAAGGCAGGTATTCTTCATTAGTAACCTTATGGGGACGCACCTGTGTATTTTGGCTACATATTTTAGTTACATCCTATTCCAATTATGCTGGGCAGCAAACATCCTCCATTGTTTAGTGGTTATAATTCCAAGTTCTGGAGGGAAGCGAAGTCAGCTGCCAGGGGCAGTAATTTTTGCCATCTGTAGCCACAAGCTCTGATTTTGGCACCGCGTCGCCCTTTATCTGAAAAACAACTTACAAGCATTCATTTGTTAATTGCCTCAGAATGGGAACATAAAATGAAAGACAACCAATGGGGCATGGTGGCGATGTGGAGGCTCCCCATTGCATGTTACCCAGCGGCTGCGTGTGTGATTTGGTTTAACGGAGCGGCCCGCAGATACAGCCGCAGCCACGCCGAGTCTGTCCTGTTTAAGCTACTTAGTTTGGGGTAAAAGTTAGACACAAGCTGACAGAAAAGAAGTTATAGAAAAATAAACTGACTCATACAAATTAGTGCTTTATGTTCAGCCACCATCAACAAAACGTAATGCCAAGCTTTTGATTTAAACTGCAAATTTAGGTATTATGTGCTTAAATGCTTAAAGCTTTCGGAACTCATGCTGGTTTTTGCATTTATTTTCTTGGTTTGTTCCTGTCTTACTTTTGCATCCTACAGGTGATTAAGAGATATCAAAATGCAATATCCTTGATCCTTTAATGTATCAATTAGGAAATAATTAAATTTCTGCAGATTTAGCAA